GAAAATATGTTAGGGTCATGACTTACGATACATTTATTTCTACAGCCGACGTTGTATTTGATGGACAACGTCGTCATCATGTAAAAGACAACTGTGTTTCGAAATTTATACATCGTCTTTACCAAAATGACAGCCGTCTAATCTATCTGAGACGGCAAAGTTTGTCAGCCAATCGCCGTGGAAAATATTTTAAATGACATAAGAATAAAAAAAAGACGCGGATATTCCCATATAACGTTGTTCTTGTAAAAGAACGACGTCCAAATATCACTTTACGTCGACAAATTTACCTCTGGATTTCAAATAACGTCGTGAATTGTTCTTTTTCTACTTCGTTTATGAGATAACAAGCGACGTGGTAAAATTTAAGACGACGATTTTTGAGTTGTTACGGACGAGTTCATGATCTAAGACGTCGTCTTTTGTAACGTTCAAGTTAGATATCTCGTCTTTTAGACGTCGGTATTATGGTATTGGATTCGTGTTATTTGTAATTACATGTCGGCTCTTTATGCTTCTCCGACGTGATATCGTTAATAACTGTTTCACAATACCGTTGTGATTCTTCATTTTTACGTTGCTTTTAGACGTCAGTAAATACATTGCCGTCGTTGAATGCTCCAAAACGTTGTTTTTTAATGACAATTTTATTAAAACAGACGTCTGTTTTTCACATTTTTATCAGGACCGTCGTTTTATAATATTGAACCAGTATTTTATGTACTGATTGTTTTGTGGCCAAAACCTGCATAATGAAAGTGAAGAAAACACATTACAATTTATTACAAAATTAATGTCTTACAGTAGTGCCGTTTATGCATAAGTAATTTCATAAATTACAAGAGCATCATTCAATCCATATATCTTCATACCCATCTCGAATATTTTGACTCCCAAACTCAGCCACCAGTTCATCAAATGTGTCAACATTTGGCAACCCTCTAGTAAATGGCTCACACTCAATTCTCACATCACCTAAGACATCATCACCAATAACATCATTATATTCTTTATTAGGCATTCATAACACTACCGACCAACCACGATGCATCGGGTCGTCAACAAAAAATACTTGTTTTACTTGAGAAGCCAAAACAAATTGGTCATCCCTATGTCCAATTTTACCCAAATCTACAAGGGTAAATCCAAGTTCGTCGACTACAAGGCCGGAAGTACTATCTATCCAATCACACCTAAAGACTGGGATTGTAAACTTTTGGTAGTCAAGGTCCCAAATTTCTTGAATGACACCATAAAAACTCATATTTGAGAGAATTGGGTTTTTATCCTTGGCACTAGCAACTTGCATGGTATGTGCAAGTAAATAAACTCCACTATTTTGAACTGTCCGCACATCATCTTGTGCCTTGATATTAAATTTAACACCTTTAATAAGATAGCTCCTATATAATGGCACTGCCATGTTTGGACCAGCTGCTAGCCACCTTAAATTTTCTGATACGCCATGATTGTCT